GTATGTATGTGTGCACGTGTATGTGTCTGTATGTATATATATATAGGTGTGTTTATGTGTGTGTGTGTGTGGTGTGTGTGTGTGTGTGTGTGTGTGGGTGTGTGTGGGTGTGGGTGTGGGTGTGTTTGCGTTTACGTATGTATGTGGTTTTGTATCTATGTATCCATATATACAAATATGAACATTTTATTATGAAAAATAGTTCAATAACAGTGAGCAAATATCAGCGAATCAACAATACAGATATACATGATATGGCTTATAGGTAGCAACTCTACCTTCTCGGTTTCGGCGATGATGGCATATGTTTCGGCAGTAGGCGTGAACAAGTCGTCAATGGTTAACCCCTCCATATCGCACAGCGGAGATTCAATTAGAGTTATAAGGTGGTGTAGTATACGAAACCAATCTCCTTTGCTGGAGCTTATATATCTAATAAAGGATAGCTGAATTAAGCTACAATCTTCTGCCCAAATAGACTTCTAAATTCAGGCGTGTATCTGTCCTATCCAGTCTCGACTATTCAACTAAACCCGCATACTCTAGCGCGCGATACATCTAACTCGTGAATATGCAATATACAAGGCTAAACAAATATCATTCATGTAGTAAACATATATTCATAGTAATGGCGGATCTCGTGAGAAGGTGCATCCAACTGTACACTTTTCATGAGCTACACAGTAGACTAGATATCTATATGTATTTATAATTATTCTACTTAAATACATGACGCAACAATGTTATTTACAATATTGACTGATTCTGTGATTCAGAATATTCACATGTACTCATTCTGATACGCTAAGCCAATCAAAATATGAAAACGCTATGATTTGCATGCGATACGCTTCAATAAGACAAAATATGTATACATAAATAAGTATGTGGATTACACGCTCGAATGCACCATTAGTAGATTATTGTATACAAGAGATGATACGTAGTTGAAAAAACTCAATTGCTGCAAAGGTTGAGTATTGTAATAATAAATCGAGACTGTTCAGTGTTCACAACTGCTGACAGAGAAGCCGCTCCTTTCCTCCTGTGTACAATTGTACATAGCAATTGCCCTTATTATATAATTTAATGGTATAGGTGCAAGCCTCGGCAGACTTGAAAGTGCCCCCCCTTGGAGTGTACACAATGCACATTGCTGTTGGTGGAGATGACTTACACCCACAACGTTGTCTCAGACAAGGCGACCTACACTGTACAGAGTCATGTCTTTATACAAGCCATCGAGGCATATAATTGTACAACACAGCAGACGACAGTCTATCAAGGGCACAAGCTAGTTGACGAGTTTGAGACACTGGGCTCTTACTGAATTCAAAAGGACTACGCTTATGCCTAACACATGAATCTGAGGAACAAATATGGGTGTTCTCTTTTTAAGCCAAAGGTACTGGTTGTCCGTACGGCTGTTCCCCATTGATGACAAACCCAAATATATAGATAATCTCATTGCAAAATGACTGTATTTAATGTTTATAAATGTTTATTTATGTGCCTGTGTGTTCGATTTTCAATAGACTATGGTCCGTAGGCCTTTATAGAGACGGCCTCCAAATATTCCTGTATCCATTAAATATTAAAATTTCAACTATTAGGTGATTTCAAACAAATTGTAACTCTCACATCGTATTCTCTTTTTGTATATGTGTATACCTCGAAGTTGCGGTGTCCCAGAAAATAGTATAGCGTACTTCTTGTTATGCCAAAAGTCTGGTGTTCATGCTTTTACGGGGAAGGTGTATTTATGACATTCTTTGTCGCTCTGCAATAACCGTCTTGCAGTTCGGACACATATGCTTTACGTCGTTGCAGGAATCCAATACTAGTGGCAGAGGTGCACATATCCACCATCCGAAAAAACATAAAACGAGCGAACTCGCCCAAGCAAAATTACCAGCTGTATGAGCAGTTTCCGTCATTACGTTCTTGCTACAGCTGGGACAGAACAACAGCTGTGGTTTGTACCCCGGACCTGTGGTCAGGTACACACGGGTTGGGTTGTTGAAGTCTTCATATGGTGGTGGCACTAGAGGTGCTGTTTCTCCGGTCGCGTGGTATGTTTGTGTGTGAGTCATGTTCGTACCAACCGCACTACTACGGTATGGGCAGCCGTAGTTGGAACTGTTCGGTGCTAACTGCTGTGGCTCCGCGGTTGCTGAGAATGCGGGGAGATAGTCGGGATTGCTTGGAGGCGGGGTCGCGGTTTGCGATTGATACTCATTGTTGGATTGTTTTCCGGTCATGGTGATATAAAATGAGAATGGAGATTGCCGTGGTCGAGGTTTATATAGTTATGCACAGACGCATACTTGCCTAATCATAGTAGTATTTAGTATGCTCTATGTATGAGTCATCGTGCCAAGAAAGATGAGTCATAACGTGATAGCATCGATGAGTCATTGTCGTTATTGGGAGCAAATATATATATTCACTCCACCACAGAAGGCCAGAATGGCAGAACCCTACCAATGAGACTATTTAAATACATCGTAAATACAGCCCCTCTAAAAAAATAAAAAGTTTGCATGTGATATGTAAATATTGTATTATTTTATGTCTAGCCCCTGGCTTTTGCAGAGAGAGATTAATTTGTTTTACGGTACATGTCCATTTATTACAGTGTACATATTATTATATACGGATACGCATCTCGCCTGCGTATAATAATCACGGGAGCCATAAATGATATGGCTATCTGTGGTACGATGTTTGCAAATACCTTTCCTGCCAGGAGTGAACCACTTGATAGGCACAACGTTATTTATTTATTTTAGATTGCTTTTGTCTCAATTGTCATTTCCAACATATCAGTAGACTACCTGCTATTTATGCTATAAAAAATTTAACGGCAACTGAGGTCACCATAGCTACGCATGAAGTAGCGTTCAGTCTCTATTTCTTTAGTAATCTGCTGCTGTAGCTCTGCAGTTTTTGTTTACGATTTCCGATGTCAATAACTGGTGCCATCTGCTACGGTATGTGTCAGTCGTTTTTTTTCCCAGACGCACGCTATGTAGTTTAAGAGCGATACCACGCGATGGTGTTTTTATCTTGACTAATTCAGTCGTATTATATCTGCTTTACTACTGTCATAGTGTTATTTTTGTGTATTTTTTTGGTATTCACAATTGAACTATCGTTTATCGCTGCCTATGGTATATGTTGATAAAGAGATGTAGCAATGGATTGTGCTGTACTCAGTATTCTTCTGTGTATATTCTATCAAAACGACCGTGTCATATTTGCTCTATTCAACAAAGTGTTGTCGTATGATGCTATTTTTTATGCATAATCACATATGAGTGTTTAAAAGTCTTCGAGATCACAACAGTAAATCATGTTATCATGTTGATGTATTTGGTCTGAAATGGAACGATTCTCTTTTTCTCTCGCGTAGAACACCGAGTCTGAACTCTAAATTCGGTATCGTGGTGTCGTATGATATGATAAAATATACATGCGTGAAATATAAAAGGTTTCTGAAATCCTAAATCGCTGCAACCATTGGATGTTGTACAATCGCTGTACGTCGTGCTTGTTGGTGTTGGGAGCCAATCTACAGTGAGGTGGCGGTCACTGCGTGCATGCACACAATAGATATTCATTCATTTTTTTTTAATTGTTGTTCGATATCTAAGAAACGACATGATATTTGTCAACACAACATCTGTGAGGTCTTGAGGAAGCAGAAATGATATCTGGATCGGCTTCATGTTGAGCCCAAAGCACTTTTTGTAATAGTGTCCGAACTTTTTTCGGGTTGAAGCTGACTGTTATTACGATGACAGTAAGCATATAGTTTGTATTCATTTAGTATAATAAATATATTATTCGAATCGTATTTGGCCCCACATGTGGTATTGGTGCAGTATTCAAAGTTGCATTGGCAGCGCAGGTATGGTAATCAGTCGAACACCAAATGCATGTTGCTTTTTCCTTGTCGGGTGGTTATATATATATATATATATATCTATATATATCAATTTTTATAATGATTCTGTATTTAGCGCTGTGTTTAGGGAAATTTATTTTCACTATAAAATATGGCAACTAGACGCTAGACTTTGTAGTACTATCGGATATTGAGCCCATAGTATGTGATGCAATTTACGGAGCACACCAGCAGTTGTGAGGGATTAGTCCGTTAATACTCTATGTCACTGAATATACTTCAATTGCCGAGTTACGGGGTGAAACTTGGTTCGTTCGAATTTGGCGATGGAAGGCCCTGGATCTCTGTTGAATATTCACATATTATCATATAGCGCTACAGTTGATGGGTTCATCTCAGAATGTACGGAATTTTGTTCCAACAACAACTAAAAGATGAGAGTATCCTAATATGAGAAACATACGCGCCGTAGTTCAGCAATCTCTTCTCGGAAGTACTATAAAATGCACAAGCAGACCTCATAGAATCCTCAGTTTTCTTTGCTAGATCATTTATACATCACAATGGCCGCCTGGTTGATTTCGTTTCTGGTAGCTTCCTTCGCCATAGGTAAGTGAATGCTAATTCACTTTTAATTTATCGCGAGTTTCGGAAGAAAAGTTGCCCAGTTTAATTTACTGCTATTATTGAGATTAATTTCGTGTATACATTGTTAATAACTACATAACAGTTGAAGTGAATGCCCAGGAACAGAAACTCGATATATTCCAGTGCTGATAATCTATCTCTATATCACGTTAAAATTGATGCTTAGCTGCCACTTCAGCCGAAACTATCTGTTACGGACAAGACCCAAGCTGTGCAGCTGAGTCTACAACTTGTGTGGAGGCTACTGCAAATCTCGCTGATTCCCCTGGTAAACCAGAATGCGTTGAGGCAGCGAAAGCCGGGTTGTTCCGTAAGTTAAAGGATGTATACGGATGTGTAGGCATGGTATACCTTGCTCGTAGTAGGCCACTTGATCGAATCATTCGTTGTGTTTTATGTACATACAAATTTGATGTGTATTGCGTACATCACTACTTGTGCTAATTAAATTTGATTCTGCATTTAGACAAAAAACAATTTATAGAGTTGTTTGTCCTAGCCCTTATAATAGTTACTCGTCTCATCTGTGACATAATATTGTACACCCGAGCAAATCTTCAAAACCGTCATACTACGAAAAGAGCAAACTTATGTGCCGTAGTCGCCAGTGTAACATATGAATACGTTCTTCTGCACACAGTTACGCTCCAAATTAGCATGAAACCAATTGAAAACTGATCTGACAGACGCTCACGTTGCACGACAATATGCTTTCGTATATACCGACCAACATTATTACTCTTACTTCACTGACCGATACAATTACATATAGAGACCTACTCTACCTTCATCAAGACCGACGAGTTCTATTCTATCAATGTGTACATGGATGCCGATTGTACTCAGGTGCTCTTGACAACAGATCTTGGAGAAGATGTTTGTACTGAGGTGGTGGCTCCTATGACTGCTCCATGGTACGTGGTGGTCTCCGGTAATTAAAATTTACAGGCCCTAAATAAAATACTTTGCCAAAGATCCTTGTGAATATATCGGTATTGGTATTGATTTGATCAGTTTCGTATCTAGATATATTTTTATTCTTCTTAGTAGTACAAACTTGGTTTAAATAGAGTTGTACATCTTCTGAGTATTTTTATATATGCATCAACGGTTGCTAATTACTATTCAAAATCATACGCTTTAGGAATCAAACCGGCTGACCGTATTGAGGGCCTCAGTTGTCTATCTACTCTTAAAGTACAAGTTTTATTCTTTTTACCCGTGGATTTGAAGCATCTGTCTGTGTTTATATATTTTTATTCATTTATTTAATTGCAAACATCTCTTTTATCTAAAGAGTTGAGAAGAGTGTGCTCGCTGCCAGTTGATATTTCACTGAAAGGCCAACTAGATGCCGTCGATTGTTACTCTCAACCCGTATGTTGCATATAAGCTGCGATCACTAGCGTGCGACCGCTGTGCCAAACAAGTTTTCATGACTCCACACATGCCTAGCATTTTTCGGTTTAGTATGATCGCGAATTAGTCAATTGTATCAGTCTTTGTATCGAATATAGTCGAGGACAAGTGTTATTACTTTCACCCGAGTAACTATATACCGGTTTCTGACATTTTAAAGCCCAGCGGTACAGGGCTCCATACTGAGGTATTACTGCATATGTGCATAAATCAGCTGTAACCCCTCATTTTTTTGAGTATCTGTGATGACCTACAATCAATCTCACTAGTACATGCCTGGTGGCAGCATAGCCGAATGGGCAGTCGACATACTCTGGAATGACTGAGTCTGATAAACCGCACCTTGCTGCACTCCGTAGCCGTTCTGTGCATGCACTGGTTGCTGCTGATACTGCTGATAACCAATGCTTTGTGCTGGATGTACACCATACATGTTGGGCATAGATGATGTGTTCATCTGTGCCGGTGTGGTTGAGTTGTAGTTAAAATGATTCTGACTGTCTTCCCATTCCAATTTCGCTCGCACATTGGGGTCGACAGGTACTCCGCGGTCGTCTACGTCATACGCCTCAGGATCATTGTTGTCAGCATCGACCTCGACGAAGACTTCTCGAGTTGTGCCGTCGGGTAAAGTTCTATACTGTTTTACACGTTTGCGTTTGTTGTACATCTTGTAGGCTATCATACCGGCGCCAGCCACAGCACCGGCAACTGCCAACTTCTTAAGCATACCTCTATCGTGTGTGTCTTCATGTTGTCCCTCAGATGGGGCGGATATTGGGGCGGAATATCCGTACTGCTCTGGATAGTAACTCATGCTATTTGTGAGGTGTAAATTTTTGACTTTTTTAAGTGTAAATGTATTTTATGAATGCTGTGGAATGAATCTCCAAACTTAAGGGAATCCGATTTATATACATGTTGATGTTGTATGTATGACTCATCATGCCTATCTTAGCCATCGCATTTACAATATTTAATATGTAGAGTACCATGGATTTGTCGCACGGGGAGATTCAGTCGTGAAGTTGGATTTTGTATTGGACGCAGATAGATATTACAGAAATCACCTGGCCGACAATGTATTTACTATTAAAAATTCACACACCGTGAAATATATAGATTTCACACATTTTGACAATTTTAACCCGAGTAAAAATAGATCGCTGAGAGCGACTTGTGAGCCTTGAGCTGTTAGTTGGACGGGTCGGACTGGCGCACATCGGTGACGACATTTGTGGGTGGGTGTCGCTGGGTGTGACGGTGGATCATCAGCGTTTATAACTGGTTAAGAAAAATAGGTGGGTGATTTTAGGTGGGAGATAGAAACATATGCACTGAAAAATAGGTTAAAACATATACACTCTGATACCCAAAAAAAAAAGGATGAGTCATAGGAAAGAATGACTTATTTCTTACAACTTTGATTGGTTATTATGAAACAAACATTGTAATCCAGAGTTCCAGAATCCAGAAATGAGAAATCAAACTACATACCCAGGGCCAGAACTTCCAGAAAGCTCAAACAACTAACAAGCCACAAGGTCATCATGTGAGAGAGTCAGAGGAAGGAGAGTCGAAACTCCCGACTTCAGAGGAAGAGACCTAAAAAAGTAAAAGCACGCAGCCACTCACAGAAGGTAAACAATAATAAAAAATGTTTTTAAATACATACAGTATTCATCTTTATGCAAGACAAGTTCATGGTTTATCTTGGTTGTAAATATCCAATACACATTTGTGTATTTATTTATGCATATTTGATCAGACGGGTATGCGATAGCACGGAGCACCCGTGTCATCAGAAATATAGTGAGATATTTGGCACACGTGCAGAAAGTAAGAGGCCGAAAAACACAATAGAAGCAGTGCAGACAAGTATACTAGTACAGACATCACAGCTAGATAAACGGGACGCAGGGCAGGGTGTGTTTGCCTTACGCGATATCATGAGAGGAGAAGCTGTATGCACATATCCGGGTGTGCACACTCCAGGTACTGATGATTCGGTTTATATATATATATATATATATATATATATATTAGTATATATATATATATATATATATATATATATATATATATATATATATATATATATATATATACTATAGTATTA